AGTGAGTATTTGTTAAAATAGGGGACAAACACCGGATCAATAGCTGTTATAAAATAACATACATTTCATGTTTCAGAGAATTTAAAAACACTGTCAGAAAACACTTCTACCGATGATGATAACAAAGTTAATCCATCTGAAAAACAAAATGTTAAAATCATGAAAATCAATGAATTGTTGGAATCAACCATTGATTTGGAGTCTTCTATTACTCAGCCCTTATCTTCATCAATTCAATCTTCTAGTTCTTTCGTTCAATTTAATGAAAATAAACCATTAATTAAATCGATTATTCCTGTGGATGAACGAAAAAGTAACTTTTGATGTGATATATTTTGTTTTATTTTCTTATTCAGTTGAAATTTGAATATGTTGCCTTAATTTAGATTACTTATAGTATTTCTCAAATTCAATGTTTAACGTCTATTCAATATTTTTTTTTAGATATTTCCTATTATATAAATACCACATTTAATGAATATTAAATTATATTAATATTATTACTCACTCAGAATATGACATATTAACTGTCTTTTTAAAATCAGAACTACGAATAATTAAAACTTATGCTAGTATTGAAAATTTCATTTAAATTAATTTAGTATCATATTGACTATCCTGAATTTATACACCGTTCAAATGTTATAATAAATTACATTCGCTTTAGAAATAAATGCTTCTTTCATTTAACTTCAATAAAGAAATAGCCAAAATTTTAAATCCTTTATAAATTGTCAATATGGTAATTAAATTTCTTTTATTTCAGAAGAATCAATGGCAAAGAAAGATACGATACTTAATTGTTCACCAAGTGTGGTTGATGGATCAGTGAAATCCAAGGATACGGTTATATTATATAACCTCTTTAATTTATTTGTAACTGTTTTAAGTAAAATTTGTAAAAACGATGATACTACGAGTACTATGTATTACAGTTTATCTTATAAATCATGTACAAATAAAGAATGTATAAAATATTTAATTTAACAAATAACATAGGTATCTATGTAGTTACACATGAATGTATAGTAAATAATAGTTGATAAATATTAAATTATTAAGCTATATATATTTGCAACCAGTAAGTATTAAACTATTATGTATCATGTTATTGTAGAATATTAAATTTTTACTATTAAAATCAGTAACCACACTTTCAAAAGTTAGCTGAAATCAATTTCACCGTAATATATGGTTAGTGAGATAAAGTGTGATTTATTATACGGTATACCTAAACATCCTAACCACATAGTTCAAACATTTGGAGATAATTATTTTACAAGACAAGACACATCACGGTGTAGTGTGAACTCGTTTTTACAATATAACATCATTATGTGATATTTCAAATATAACTTAAAACTGAGCAAACACTACCGTATAAACACGTATAACGTAAACACTAACGTATGCTGATGATACAGCGATACTCGTGTCCAATTTAGACCCCGTTCAAGCATCATCCGATCTCCAAAATCTAATCTAATAAACACATGAGCAACCAAGCGAAGAAATTTAATAAATCCCTTTCACATTTCGGTGGAATAGCTTCCTTCAATTTCAACTTCAAGGAATCGAGATTCCTATAACGAATCAAGTAAAATGTTTGGGAATTTTACTAAATAACCTGGGGCCCACATTTAAAGTCCAAACGTAAAATCCTTAACAACCGCCTTCGTCTGCTCAGACCAATTCTCAAATACAAATTATCAATCCACACAAAATCCACACTGTACAAATCTCTACTCTGATCCATTTGGGCGTACGGTATGCAAATCTGGGGATGCGCCAAACTCCCAAATCCGCACCATTCAAGCCGTCTAGCCTTGTACATCTGTCTTCGATTAATAGCCTAGGCCCCTTGGTACGTAACAAATGAAACCCTTCACAATGATTTGAAAATTGCAACAGTTGACCAACTAGCCAAATTATATTATTATATATTTCACTCTTCACTGCAACACCATCCCAACCCTTTAGTGTCCCCCCCCCCTATCATCATGTACCCTTCATGACGACCCACCACACCACTACAAGAGGCGCCGGTGTCATGACCAATTAAATTAATATAATATAATTACAAATCGCCCGAGGGTTCCATCATTTTCCTTCATCATGTGCTTCTGCATTGTTTTTTATTTTATTTTATATGTATATTTAAATCAGTCATATTTTTTACTTATTATTTTTGAAATACAGATTGTACATTTTCCAATAAGAATACAAAAAAAAAAAAAAAATCCAAGTCCTATAAAGAAACATAAAATATATCGAATTAAAATTTGAATATTATAACATTAAATGTAAATAATTATTTGAAATTTATTTATTTTTTCATAATTTTTAACATGATTTTTAAACAGTTAAATATCATGTTTTATTTTAATAATTTTATTTCAGAGTTTTAATATATTTTACGTGAGTTATACTATTGAACATTTGATGTATAAAATTCGAAAAAAAAAACAATGAAAAGGGGACCTCTGTGTATATGGGACGTATTGTACCGGTCGAATTGTTCGACCAAGGAGATCAGATAAATGTCAATGAGTTCCGATAACCGGATAGCGTGTTATCCTACTGCGAACAGAGGGGTCTCGCACGCCGTGCTGAACTCCTCATCGTATGCCTCATACTATCATTATCATCTTGCACGTTGAACTGTACTTTATTGGCTGTGCGATTTTTCCGTTAAATTTTTGAAGATTTTACCATCCCGGCGGTGTCTATTATCGCGTTATTATTTTCCCCAGTTCCGCAAAGGCGCGGTCGTTGCGCAACCTCTCCGATCCGTCAGCATACCGTTCCGGCACACATATCCGACCATGTTGGTCCTGCAGAGTTTACTGCTGTCCGTCGGCATCGAAGCGCTGGCGTATCTGAAGTCGATCGTCGTCTCGTATCTGTACGATGACGATGGGACGTCCGGTCCCGAGGTAAACTATACCGATTTTTGTATGCTATCCGCCGTACCCGACCGGGTCAATTCAAAAAACGTTGGTTGACGTTGATAATTAATTATTCTCGTCAGTGGCATTTGAACAGAGGTACCGTGTTTTAACTGATACTAACTAGTTACTACCTATCAGTTTTATTTGATAGTATATTTTTTTATTTGAAAATGTAATTAAAACAATTAAAATCATCAATTATAGAAATACAAAAGAAGTTAGGTTAGATACAATATTATGGGCGTGGGTTATGCACGGAATGCAGCTGCTTACACTGTTTTTATAAATGCCAAAAATAAATGAAAGCATAACGTATTTGGTATACAAATTTAGATACTTGTGCGTTATCGCGCCTACCGCGCGATACATTTGCATTATAGCAACGCCGTTTAATACGCGATTCTATTTCTTATTCTATTTTTTCCTGTCTCGTTACAATCGCACTTATCGCAATTTTTACAGACTGGCTGGCAGTGGCGTAAATTGGATCCAATTTCTGGTGGTGCAGAGGCATATTCTCAAATTATAATTTCTAACACACCAATTTTCCAATTTCTTAACTAAAATTCTTCTCAATAAATTATATATTTTCCCATATATTCCTTTAAATAACAAATAAATTTTGAATTATTTTAGCATTAAAACCTTTATTATTTTAATATTAATAAAAGAAAACAATCAAATTTTGTTTTTAGTACGCTGATTTCTTTGGCTCTTGAAAATAATATTTTAGGTATACAAATTTCAATGATTTTAGACGTGATGTTGCAAGTGCACATTTGCATCACCCAGTTTATGCCATTGCTCGCTGGGTAACTTTAAGGACTTTTGTAAACATTTAGTCACAACCCCGCTGTAACTTGTTGTACACTTACGATTATTTGGCAATGGATCTGTGGAACTTACCAACTACATTGACTTTTAGCTTTGGGTAGTTTTGTATTATTATAAATGTATGTTGCATATAATAATGCGTTCAAAATCAAGGTAGTCTCGACAACGCACAAGTACTCAAATTTATATTAAATGTTTTTGTATTACTCTATAATTATGATTTTATTTTTATATTCAGTCCCAGAGATTTTATTTATTTTTGAAAAATGAATTATGTTAAAGTAGTTTATATATAGAAATAAATAAATGCTTAGCCTGTAGAATTATTATATTTGTAATGTAAGACTGGTTTTTGATTAAAAATTAATATATTATGAATATAATCATACTCTAGTTTAAGCATTTACTTATTTATTTATTTTTATTTGCATGCCATTTATGTATTATTTTAAGAGTATAACCCTATTGGTTCAACTATAAAAATATTGTTTTAGATTGAGAATTTATTATTTTTGTTAGTGGCTCACTGATTTTTGAACAGGAGTAGCAATTTCTAACTAATACTAATTAGTTACCATCTATTGCATTTATTTGATAGATTGTTTTTATTATAACAGCGCAACAGGAGTAGTTTTAGTAATTTAACTAGAGGGGTATCATACTTGTCGAAATGTTGGTTAATAATAATCAACTATTTAAGTTACAAATTTAGTATGTCACCTTGTTTATTTCTGTATATATTAATACTATTTTCCAATAGTGTTTTTATATTAAATTTGTTTTTGCTGAATACTGAATTATATAATTTTATTCTAGAAAGCTTCTGGTCTTGGAAGAAGTGTTGTCTTATCGCTTTTCTTTTAATGCTGTTTCTGTGGTATAATATATACACTACACTTCATATTTTGTATACTCATCTTTAATAAAAATGTTTAATACTAAATTTTGTACATTTAGAAGTATGAAATAAATACTCAAACTAAAATTTTAAAATATCTACTTTTATAATAGTCCTATCTACTTAGTAGTTTACTTGTTATATACAAGAACCATTTATCTCAGAATAGAGGACTAGCATTTTTGTATTGGTTTTCTAAGTCCTAACATTTAAATATAGATTACAAATTATTTTAACCGTTAAGCTAAATAATTTTTGAATATCTTTGGGTTTTATTTAATATTTTAAATATACAAATCTGATTACTATTGGTCTATGTTATCTTTATGTTATTTAATTTTTCATATTTTAGTTCAAAATGCATATTGTTAATACCCTTATGTGAGTTTTACTATTTCCCCTAGGCTTAATTATTGACTATTTTTAAGATTTCTATTCTAATTCATTACTTTTTTTATTTTCAATACATACCTATATTATAATTTGCAAAGTAACGACTGCTAAAATTGTTACAATTGAGAAATTTGGTGAAAATTAATAAGTTTAATATTAATTAATGTCTAATTTTAATTTACTGAGAATGATTTGTTATATTTTTATATAAAATAAAGTTCATAGAAAATAAATATTTCTATAAAAATAATGGTTATATATCCTATTTCAATCATAATCTAAAATTGTTAATACCTACATTTACTCTAAAATATAAAATGTATACTTTTAGGAAAAAAATATAATTGAAATTAGTAGTCAAAAAACATGTGTTACTACCCTTGATGAACTTGGTTTAAGATTTTGGCCACCATTATACATGCAAAGGTATATGGCTGTACAGGAGATTCTTGAACATCCAATTTGGAATGGATCAATAAAAAAGGTGGGTATATGAAAATGTTTAATTATTTATAAATAAATAAATGCTTTGTCTCGAGTATTATAATATTTGTGGTATACAATTGGTTTTGAATTAAAAATTCTTTCTCGGGTATATACAAAATCAATAATAGACTAAGCATTTATTTATTTATTTATTAATTTATAATTATTAATAATTTACTTATTTTTATTTATTATTTGCTAATAATATTTATATCTTTAATCTTTAGGTTGTGGACTTTGGTTGTGCTGAACTTGGTATGTTTAAATGCATAAAACCAGTTCCTGGACTCAACAACATTATGCTTGTTGACATAGATTTTAGTTTATTAGATTTGAACCAAACCAAAGTGTTGCCAACAAATTATGATCATTTGTCAATGAGTGAACGCAAAGAGCCTTTAACTGTAGACATTTACAATGGAAGTATTGCTGATCTAGATGATCGAATGTTGGGTGTTGATGCTGTTATTTGTGTTGAACTGTAAACTACTATTACTTGTTTTAATTCATACGGTTATTAATTTAAATCATTTGACTTGCAGAATTGAACATTTACATTCTGATGTTTTAAATGCAGTACCACATACTGTGTTCGAATTTATCAGACCAGCATTGGCACTTTTTACCACTCCTAATGTAGAATTTAATATTCTGTTTCCAAATTTTCACACAGAATTCAGACATGATGATCATAAATTTGAATGGACTAGAAAACAGTTAAAAGATTGGTGAATATTTTTTAAAAGTTAATATGTTTTATGATAAACGTAATAATTAATTTTTTTTTCTTATTTATTTTCAGGGCTAGAAAAATAACTTCTTGTTATCCTGACTATGCTGTACAATTTGATGGTATTGGGGCTGCTCCTTATGGTGGAGAAAAACTTGGTTGTTGTAGTCAAATGGCTATTTTTTATCGGAAGGATATGAAAACATCTCCTGCTAAACCTATTGTAAATTATTTGTGTAATTATTTTAAATTAAATAGTTGATAGATATATAATAACAGTTTAATAATTTTAAAATGATAGATCATAGAGTGAGTGATTGGTTAATGTCAGTATAGTATTGGGTTTAAACTATCTAACTTTTCCAGTTCCAGGTTGGTTAACCACATGGGATTTTAGCTACAAGTAACATCCTTTAAAATAAAATCATAAATTTTAAAATACATTTCTAACTGTTATACTCACAAAAATGCAAAAATTGCATTTGTTGCTAAAGTTGTTTAAAGATTGTTTAAAATAAATCTTATTCAAATGATACTGGAATTTGATGTATTCAATATTTTATATCAATATTTAATTATTAATTATTAATATTTTATTAGTATTTTATAAACTTTCTACTCCTTGTTAAGATATCAAAAATATACTTTTTTTACTTACATTAATTTTTAACAAAACTTTACATATTATTATTTTTTCTTCATTTCTTCATTAAATTAAGTTTCAAATTTGTTATAATATTCAGTGTTTAAATTGGTTTATAATATAAATTTACTGAATCAGAATTTAGTTAAATACATTTTCTTGAGTTTAATTTTTTCTTAATTTATTTCATTTGAAATTGTATTGATACATTAAATTATTTAAGGACAATGATATAAAAAAGGAGTGAGATGTATCTAATTTTTTAATTTCAATATAATATCAATAGTATATATATTGTTTTAAATCAGATGGTTTTGAATAAAAGTGATTTATTAACGATTGCTAATGGTGCTTATTCTTATTAGTTTTAAATACTTATCTTTTTTTTTTTTTTTTTTTGACATAATATGTAATCAATACATTTTATTGAACTATTAAACTATTATGTTGTTAATACATCTGTTAAGATAATTATTTTATTGAAATTGTGTGAACTTATTGCATTTAATAGAATTAAACAATGGAAAGGGATAAATAATTAATATAATTATGTTTTTAGGGTTGTACACCTTATAAATTGTTAAGAAGAGTCAGCTATCCTTTTGAACTTCATGATGAAAATGTGAGGGAACGGACCATATACGACAAGTTAATTAAATTTGTTACAGAAGCTAGATTTAATCATGAATATTTAATAGATGACTCTATGGAAATACCGTTGAATGTAATTTTGCCACACATTTCAGATTGCTGTTCATCTATAAACGAATTAGAGTTAGTATATTATATTTTTTTTTAATTTTAAGATTCTATGAGGATTATATATAAATCTTTTAAAAACTAATCAAATTATCTCTATTTTATATAATATTATATTATTATTAACTTATATATATATATATATTTATTAATGAAAATTAGTGTTTTACGAAATTAAAATAGTAGACAAGTTTATCCCTTAGAGAATTAATAAAAAATGAATCTATTCTTAGATATCTTTATAGTAAATTACTTGAGTTAGTTTGAAAAAAGGTATACACATAATATAAACTAACATGTGTTAATGCATTATTTAAATTTAAAATGTTGAGTTTATGGATTTTATAGTCGATAATTATAGCATAACTTGTGTGTAGTAGTATTCTACTTATTTAAACACTAATCATTAGTGATAAATGGATTGAGAATGGTACACAGATAAATTAAGATGAGTAAATGGATCATTACTATTTAGACTGATATACTACCATTAATGCTTATAAAATTGATTACAGTTTTTTAATTATTTCTAAATTATAAAGTATGATATTATACTATAAATCTATGTATATAAAATTCAAATACTAACTAATTACTTTTTAGTCAAAACTACTATTCCAATTTATCTGAAATTTTGATGAAATGTTGTTATTACCACGTATATGTGTGCCAAAGAATTTTTTTACATAAACTTTTTTAGGGTTGAAAAAATATTAATTATAATTAGGGAACAGATTTATATGTAATAAAAATACAGAAATATGTATATATATATGTAAGTATAATTTATAAAATATGTGCTAAAAACATCCAAATATGTGGGGGAAAAAATTTTAAAAAAAAGTGATTATTATTATTAAATTAACAAAAAGATTTGTTGCATTGAATTATTACAATATCATGTAAATTATCAAATGTTAAATGTCGCCTATTAGGTATCAAAATATTTTTAAAACGGCTAAATTATCGTTTCACATCAACCGATGTATTAAAAGCATATTTCAAGTGCATACTATCAGAAGGCGATAATTCCAATTTTTTAAAAGGTTGTCTGCCATTCATTATGTCATTGATTGTTTTAAAATCAATATTGCCTGGAATTTTTTTCTGTAACAGCATGAATTTTCTTTTTTATGACATCTATTGGTCCGCTTACGAGTTTTAATCGCTCATTCAACAATTTGCATACTATCATTTGGGGACATATTTTTTATTAATAATTTTATTAAATTATTTTCAATGTTTCATTTTGCATAATATTTTGAGCTTTTCCAATAGCGATAAAAGTTTCTGGATCTAATTTTGAAATAATTTCTTGTATTTTCGTACAAAGAAGACGTATGAATGATGAAATGATAAAAATATGTTTAAAATATTTAAAAATTAGTGAAATATGTAAAAATATGTAAAATAAAAGTATCATAATTTTAATAGGAATGATTTAAATCATAAACATTTCTTATCGAATCTTAAATATCTTGTTTTAATAAAAATATGCATTTACATATAAATCCGTTCTCTATTTATAATTTATACTCTGAGCTAGATGTACAATTTTTCATAAGAAATATTTTATTTTGCTTAATATAATTATAATAATTAATGTTTAAGGTAAATGTAAACTAATATAGTATAAATTAATAAAAATAAATATCATTCAAATATATATTAATGGTACACTTTTTCAACCACTGTTGATTTTTTCATTGAATCAGTATTTGCTTTTTTCTAATTTAAAATAGATATTAAAATAGTTAAATATATTCCTAGCAAGGCTGGTAATTCAGATAGTGTATTATAAAATAAAATGGGAATGATAATAAGTAAAAATTATTAAAGCCAGTTAGACCAACATTTTATTTACATTGATCATTTTTAAAATAAATTTAAGCTTTAAAGCTTTTTTTTTTATTATTTTTCAGTAGTAAATAGTATAATATTTAAAGTTGTCTTTTGAAAATAGTCAAACTTGGTAATTAAAAAAAAAAAAATTGTCAAACAGTAATTGTATTTTAAATAAATAAAAAATGTTTTCATTTAAAAAGCTCTTATTATTGTATAAAATGTATGCAAATAATAATATGAAATAATATGTATATATATATATATATATATATATATATATATATATATAACCTTAAATTGTAAATTAATAATTTATATTAACATTAGTATGTTATTATATGTAGATTAAAATGTCTGTCCATATAATAGCTGGTAAAATTTCTCTATCTAAGATTATTGAAAGCCCTTTTTAATAAACCTTTTTTTAATAAAAGTATCATTATTCCATTAAAATATTTGTCATTTTGTGGTTTATATAAAATAGTGGTCCAATAGTGATAATTTAAAAGACTTCATAAATCAAACTAAATGCTGTCAATAATTAATGATTTCTTCTCTCTATAATTAGAAAAAAATACATGTATATTGGTCTCCTCAATTTTTTAACTTATACATTACGATTAGAATTTGGTACAATTTATTTTATAGATTTAGTTTATATATATATATATATATATGCGTTTATATTCTTAAAATCCCAAAACTTATATTTTTAAGCATACAACAATGAAATATACAACCTTTAATATTTCTTATGGATGTTATATTTATGAAAGTTGGTGGTGCATCATAGTTCATGAATGTTCATCATACTATTGTGTCACGGGCGGTTTTAAGGGGGTGACTTAGGGGACATTAGCCCCCCCCCTCTTGGGACTAAGCTATCTTTTTTACAAATCAAAGTATTATTATATATTAATAATTATAATAAAATATTGTCAATGGTCATTGATGAATATGGTACCTATTTTATATATCTTTTTTATAAATAAACAGCTCACTTTTGTTGTTAATTAAATGTATTTACCTATATTTTAAAATGGTTTCAGATTAAAATTGATACCAATAATAACTATTTAAACTTTGTCATTATTGTGAAAAAAATAACTTACTTATGAGGGACTCAAAAACATATTCTGTAATTAAAAATTTTATATAGATTTAAAAGACCAACTAACTATATTCTTAAACTTTCATTAGCCCCTCTCTTGGTTAGTGATAAAATCTGCCCCTGTATTGTGTATATGGTAAAATTAAATTGAAATATAAAATGAAATTTAAAGGAGTACAATAAAATTAATATGTAATGAGTTTATGTTGAATAAAATTAATTTATGTTTTATACAATGATTTAGGATTAATATGCACATTAAAAATTCTTACCATATTATAAATTACTGCATTTGGGACTTTAAAAATAGGTTAATTATTGTATGTTTGTTGGTATATTTTCATCAATGACTAGAGAGAAAAAAAGTTAATTTTTGTTACAGTCTGGACTTAAGCCAACAAAGTATTTTAAGAAGTGCTTTTTAAAATTCTGATCTCTTGTGTATTCTCATATATGTATGCTTGTACTTGGAATGTTTTCCGCTTATATAAT